TTATTTTCAACTAATGTGCTGACCTTGAATGCCGGGGTTTGGCAGTATCTTTAAGCACAGAACCAGGTCCACCTGGACAAGTCTGCGTGGTACAATATGCATTTTCTATACAGGTGGAAACAGTGAATTCTCTGGGCCTTGTAAAAATGAGGCATTGTGTGTGACTTCCCTTTGACTCAAGCTTGATGGTAGATTTCACAAGAGGAAAAAGTGTGTTTAAAAAGTTACTCAATACTGATCTGTCCAGAGTGTTTTTCCCAGGCTGGATTTAGGGAAGGATTATCTCCGATTTTCATTTAGTTCTGAAATCCTGGGTATTGGTTTTATAAACTAAACCCCCTTCGCAGCAGGTTGCTTGTTCTGTATTGTTGTTTTAGCTTGATGCATAGGAAGGAATTTAAATTCACATACAGGGTGGGGCTAGCTCCTTGCTGGGGTAAATCACCATAGTTCAGATATTTAAAGGCAGATGCATCAGTCCTGGCAGCCCAGGATCTGGCTTGCTTTGATTAAAATCTGATGAAGATTACTCAGCCTTACCAAGGGACTTGGATTACCATTCTATAAAAAGAAGGGCAGGAGTGCAGAGGACATTAAATATAAAAATAATCCAATGAAGGATGTGAAGCTAAACGCATGGCAAATTGAACAGCGATGCAAACACCCTATTGAAACAGGTGTAGGGCTGCAGGGCTGGTGGGTGCACACAAGGCTCAAAGCTACGTTTGAGTCAGAAAGACAATTGCTCTTGGGTTTCTCACAGCTGTGGTCTTGTCTTTTAAAGGCAGAATGTTCAGAAAGAGAGCCTCACTCCTTAGAAAATCCCCAGGGGAGTCTTGCAGGAGAAGTGGGTGACAAATCCTCTGCCTCTGCTTGCTCGGGGACCCAGGCTAGTGCCAAATCTCACTACAAAGAGGTGATTAGAGCTGAGGAACAGAAAGTCAGCTCTTGCAGATCTGAAAATGTGAAATGTGCATCGTCTTTAGGGGTTCTTACAGCAGTTGAACTTCACCCCTCCCTTCCATTGCAGCATTCATTTTCCTAGTTCTTTGTTCCTTTTAAAGGATTTAGGGACTGTTCTTACGCCACGCAATTATGCTCCATGGGCAGTGACTGATAGAAAGGCTGCTCTGAGCCCTTTTTTGGGCCTTTTAAATGAATCGGTCAAACCTTTCAGCACATGTACAGCTTTCCCACGTTTTCGTATCCAGTCCCTTAAAATCAATAAAATCTAGTCTTGCCTCTGCAGTGTAGCTATTGATAGGGCAGATGCACTTGGATCTTCATCTGACTGCCTTGTGAATCCCTGAAACCCATTTATCTCTTCTTTTGATGGAGCTTGCTGCCTTGCTCGATGGCTTGCTTGCATGGGAAGCACCTTCCTTGCTGACCCCTGTTAAAAACGTGGAAGGTTTTCAAGTAGAGTTGCAGGACTTGTGATTTGAGCATCCTTCTTTACTTAGACCAAGGGGAACAGAGTGCACAGTGCGTTGGCTGGTCTGGAGTCCATCTAGGGTGGCTGGAAGATGCTTTAATGGTGTCAGAAGGCTCCGGGAGCCTGGAGAGCAAGGCTGAGCAGCCTTAAAAACGTTGCTGACTTAAACTGACGCATCTAAATGCACTGGAGGAAAGACGACAGGGCTGTTTGGGGACCCTCCTGGGTGATTACATACATGGCTGGTCAGCAACATCGCCTGAGTGCCCTGGCAGCTATGCCAGTCTTCCAGTTTTCTTTCATTTCAGTTCGGGTCGGATGAGGATAAGATTGTGTTTTAATAAGTGTTTGTTAGGGAGTGCTTCCCCCCCGCCTCCCACCCGCATAAAACTGTTTATTTTCCTTGCAGTAACACGTGTGTTGCTCAGCTTCTGCTGTTCCATGTGTCGTGCTCTGTTACTCTGCCTTGCTCACAGCCGCAGAGCAGGGGGAACGCTGCCAAGGCTTTTTCAGGGAATTTGCTCTGGTCGTGCTGCTTCCCCGGGAGCACTCAGTGGATGCATGTTGTTTGCAGGGGGGGGGGAAAGTACTCAAATGTCAGCGTCTGAAGGAATCACGAAGGAAGCAAGGGGAGCACCAACTCTTTTCCACCTCTCAGAGGTGCCTGCATGCTCATAGCCTTGGAAAGTGGTGGGTGATGTCTTGCTGAGAAAGGATATTGCTAAGCAGTAAATGTGACCCTCTTGTGCTGTTTCAAAAAGAGACTTTGCTTAAGGCAGCCTTAGGATAAAAGTGCTTCTCCGCATACCCACCTGCCCCAAATTACCAGCTGCCAAAATGGGGGCTGCAAGTGGCAGTGATACCCCAGCCAAGGGCACTCCTTTCTCTTTCCGAAACATGGTTGTATTTTCACTTGGGCTGGATGCAAAACAGTGCCTAAAACATTGAGATGCATTGATGAGCATATCTTTAAGTCACCTGCCTTCTTGTTGCAGACATGATTATACCTACACAGACTAAACTGCTGCAGGGAAGGCAGAGACGCAGTGCTCACTGCGGCTGCTTGGGCCGTTCATTTGTTAGCATGGGTTTGGATTTCTGATGACTCAGAAGGGAGCTCGGCTTCCTCTCAGCTATTTGCAGATCTAAAGATCTGTTACACTGTGGTTGTGAACCAGGCCTCTGAACGTTGTGCAGAGCTGAGACCAAAAGCTGCCTCAGTCTCAGTGTTTAAAAGCAGAGAGCTGGTTTCCATGTGTTGGCTTTCCACGTGTTGGGTTTGTATGGGGCACTTACCAACTCACAGCAAAACAGTAAGGTGAGTGCTTGAGAGGGGCTCTTGCTTTTTGTCTTGGCTTCTTTCAGGCTAAGGTGGAGGTTAAATATTTCAAGCTTCTTGTTGAAGCCTTTGGAGTAGAACAGGAATGAGATGAATGTGGTGCAAATGCCCTAACTCCAGGAGCAGGTGCTTCACTGCTGTGAGAGCTGGCAATGCTAAATATCTCATACTTTCCGATTTATAATTTCTTCCAGATCTGGTGTGTTTTACCAATTATCCTCATATACAAAACCTGAGGAATATATGGTGGGAAAGTCCCTCTTTGTGTGGTACACACATGTGAGTGTTTTGTACTAGATTTGTAACAGCAGCTGCAGAGCTCTTCACCAGAACCACATGGTAATGGTAAGCAGTGCTCGTTAGTTTGCATAGCTCCATGGCCTGCACCCACACCTGCAGCACCTCTGTGTACCCACTGCAGGTGTGTAGCCTCAGCTCTGGGTGCAGTATGTCTCTTCGTGCTGTGCTCTGAGCTCCTGGGCTACCCTTGATCAACTATTCCTATGTGGGTCTTCTCTTTCTGAGGTCTCAGGCCCAGCTGTACCACCCTTCCCTCTTATCTTCAGCTAGCTTTCCTGAGAAAACAGGGTTAATGTGTCTGGCTCTCTCTTGCCCACCCCTAATAACTTTCCAGCCTGATGACTGATTCCAGCTGTGCGTGCCAGCGATCTGAAAGATAATGAGTTCCTACTGGCTTGATATAAATAGATGGCGAGGGGAAGACTTTATCTTTGCCCCTCTCTGTCGGGAGAGTTCATTCCTTATCAGTCCAAGAGCATCTGTGTGAGGTGAAACAAGAAAGAGATGTTATGAATGCCTATGGGGAAAGCTGCACTTGAAGCTGGTATCCTACTGCGTCCTGGAGAACCCAGCCGTGATGCGGGGCTCCCATCCAGCCTCTGGCAGTTGGCTGGGGGCAGCTTTCCCCCGTAGCAGCACTTGTCTCCCCCAGGCCTCTGTGTTTAATCTGTTTAAGGCTCTTTAATCAAAACCTATGTCTATGTACGCTGGTGTCAATGGCCCAGCTTCCCTTTTTTTTTTGTTTGTTTGTTTTGTTTTTAACTATTTTATGTCCACAGCATGGGATAGACTTAATTGCCAAGGGCTGGAAGCAGGGCTGCTAAGGTATTTTAATTACATCTGATTGCTGCATTCTGCAGCCTTGCTCTGTCAGTTGTTCTAGCTGTTCACAGTTCACAACTAGAACTAGTTGTTCTAGTGTTCACAGCACTGTGTAGAGCCCACTTGGTCCAGCACAGGCACTTTGGCTGTGTGGGCTGATCACAGAGGAAAACAGCAGTACTTCACTCCAGATGTCATTGGGGCTGTATCTTTTCTCTCTACTCTGACTTCATGGCAATAGATTCTTCCCTATTAGAGGACTGTAGTCCTTCCATATCATGTCACTTAGAAGCAGTAGAACGAAATTTACCCTGCCCTATTGCATGGGCAGAGCAGGAGTACTTGCTCTAAAGAGAACCTGCTTTATTGCTCCAGACACATCCCTGTGAGACTTTTCCCCAGCTCCTGTATTGGTTTCAAGGCTGGTCATTCTCAGGGGTCTTCTCTTTTCTGTCAAGCAGTAGTGCTCTCTTAGTGTAAGGGAAAGAGCTGTCTCAAAGACTATTTGAGGGAGGCAAGAGGGAGTGAAATAAGAAAGATGCTGGCCTTGCTGTGCTGAAACACCCAAATTGGACCCTTGGGGGCTGGATTGGTGCATGGAATAAGCTGAATTGCATGGAGGGACAGGCAGGAGCACTGCAGGTAAGGTAAAGCACCTGCTTGGAAACGTCTGCTCGCCAACAGAGAGCAGCTCCAGCCAAGCGTGTATGAAATGAGGGTAACTATTGCATCTTCATATGGCTTTTAGGTGTGTTTTCAGTAGTGCTCAGGCCTGGCAGCATCTGCAGCTCTACCTGAATGTTTTCTGGTGCATTCAGCAAGTGGCAGCTCCCAGAGCACAGACTCTGACCTGCCTTGTCAAAGTGTTTAGCATGCAGAAGACAGAGAAAGAGTTTGAACCTGACCCAGGGCCTGGGAAAAGGAAAGTCCAAAGAGGAGCAGGGCACAGAGGTAAGGCTGTTTTTGTGCAGCTGCTAATAAGCACTTCCGTTCCTGCCAAAGCTTTTACTTCTGATTTAAGAGAAACCTCAGTATCCACAATTTTTCTATTGAAACGTGTTTGTGTTTTTAACAGCATTCATCTGTGTTTCTTCCTCTTAATAGATATAACCCTGCTACAGATTATAGACGTGTTTTGGTTGAAATTCTCTGTGCTTGATGCATTATCTGCCTACAACGCAGGGCAAACTCTGCTCCTCCCTTCTGGCCTGGCCTGTAATGATGGATTAAGTAGGTAAGTAATAGAGTGGTAATGAGATAACCACTGACATCGAGCATTAACGTGGGAATAAATGAAGTTACCATCCAGAACTAATGGCCTGAACTATCACTGGGTTGTAATTAATGAACGTGGTGGCTGAGATTTACAAGGATATTTTAGGATGCTGTTTGCATGCAGCTTTGGCTTTTATGGCTTGGTTGGAAAGAAATCAATTAATGCCACGAACTTAATGAATGAGATGACGATGTGCTTTGTCAGACTGTAGTGCCCCTTCCGTGGAAGCGGCTAGACCAGTGTGCACGTGGAATGCAGTTGTTTGCCTTACTTCAAGGGATGGAAGAAGTTAGGATACTGTGATCTCTATCTCCCTAGGTCACTTACACACTTAGTGTGTAGTGGAGCTGTTGCAAAGTGTCTGTGATGGCCAAACTACACACTAGTGGTGGACCTGTGCTTAAGAGGCTTTCACTGGAGAGCTGTCCCTTCCTCCTTGCATGGCTTAGTAGGCATGTGACCCTGCCAAACACTTTAGAGATGTGTGAATAACACTTTTGAGGTGGTTGCTAGGCTGTTGCAGAAAACACAGAAGAACAGTCAAAATTCTTCGCATTAATTGGTGGGAACAATCCAGCCATCTCTGCTGACTGTTGCTTCTCTCATCTTTCCATGGCAACAGTCTCTCTACAGCAGCCCAGGTGCTCGTGGTTGGGCATGTTGGGATTTCTGAGCCTTCTGTCTTCCAAATCACCCCTTGGAGCATGGAGGGAACATCTGTACCGCTAAAGTATGGCATCACATGATGCATCAAAGACATCTCTTTTTGTAATCATGTTCCTTATGCTGTCAGAGATAGAAAATGTTGAAAACGTGAACTGAACCCTTACATTTCTTCAGTGCAAATGCTGTTGCCCTGTTTTTTTGACAAGGAGAGGAAGGCGTTGAGTCTTTCCTGTCCTTTCCATGGGCTGAGCTGTCATACCTTTCTGAGAGCTGGAGGAAGGAAAGGGACTGGTAAGCAAAGGGAAGGATGGTCTCTCTCTCTCTCTGCCACAGAGCCCAACCTGTCTGCTGCTGTGAAGTTGCCTTTTGGAAGCCAGGATGGTGGCTGCAAGTGAGAATAAGGAGAGAAAGCGGTTCAGGCACTGCATCATCTTCACCTCTGCTCCCCACTGTGAATAGAAGTGTGTGGAGATAGCACCAAGAGGGGTGCAGCCCACTTTTAGCATGGGCAGAGTAGGAATGGAGAAGGCATCCCTTCTGCCTTGCCTCTCTGAAGCATTTTCTAGGCATGCTCTAGCACTATTTTCTCTTTTGGGACCTGTTTTACGGACATTTTTAATGATTCTAGGGGAAAATGAGAGACAGATGGCCAGTGATGAACCCAGTCCAAAGCTGCCCAGACTTGAGGGAGGGTGTCATTTCAGCTGGAAGCGTCACATCTTTGAGGTGCACGCTCAGTAGTTCCCTTCCATGGTGAACAGGAGGAAAGAATTTCCACCTGCTGGACCAGCACAAGCCAAGACCCAAATTGAGCAAAGCATGGTTGGATGGTTCATGGATTTACATATTCTGTGATATACACCTTTCCTTCCCCCAGCTTTGGGAAGTTTATTGCCCCCAACAAAGTATGCTGTGTGGCAGGCCATTATGTGACAGGGGAAAATTACCCAGACTGTTCTCCAGAAGGCAAGTGAGCAAAAATTTTCCTCCAACTGGTTCAGGACAAAGTTAATGTAGGAAAGCCATTAAAATTAATGCTGGTAATCAAGGATAAAAACCAGCAGGGCTGTAACAAAATTTGGACCAGATTGAGTTTCCCAGCTGTCATGCTGCATGCTTTCTTAAAGGCAGCAGGCAGAGGGAGGGTGTAGTGTAAGGCAAGCTTGGAAAGCTCTTGTCAAGGGTGTGAGTTTGGGGGCATCTGGATTCTGGTAGCATTGGCTCCTTGGTCCAGCCCTGCCTTTTTTTTGAAAAGCAATGTCTCTGTTTGGTCTGATGGTCCTTATGACTTGTATTTTATTCATATCATGTTTACCTGCTTTCTTCTGGAATCTGCCCTCAGAGTTCAGGTCCTTCTCCGGGACTCTGGGAACCTGCCTGCATGTGATTGACAGCATCATATGAGCATGTATAGGACTGCATCTCATGCTGTCAGGTCAGAGATTATCTCCAAGCAGCCCATACTCAACGATTAGTTGGAAAAGACACAAAGAAGCAGAGCCGTTCCCCTCTCTGTATCATCTGCCTCTGAGAATGGGCGAGTGCTGGCAGAGTGTAACCAGGTCTGTTCTGGTATAGAGAGGAAGGCTCAGGTTTGATGATTTGTCCATTATCTGGTGGTGGGTACAGCCTAACCAGGGCCCAGAGCATCCCAAGGGCTATATCCTAGTGCAGGAACTGGACTCTCTTCTGAATAGACAGCTTTCTCCAGCCTCACAGCATGCTAACATAGGCCAGTCACCTTCACCACAACTCCTGGCACAAGATATTCAGCTGACTTGATGCTTCAGAGTAGGCTGAATCTGGTATAATCAAGGCAGTATTTCTGCGCTCCAGAAGTGAAGTAAATACCCCATGCTTTCAAGTGACCACTGGTTTGACAGCAGTAGTGAAAGGGAAAGGCATGAATGGGTCAGATATCAGGAAAAACTTCTGAGAAAGAGTGGTGAGGCTGTGAAATGGGCTGCCCAGGGTGGTGGTAGGGTCACTGTCTCTGGAGGTGTTCAAGAATTGTGGAGATGTGACACTGAGGGACGTGGTTTAGTGGGCAATAATGGTGATGGGTGGATAGTTAGACTAGATGGATCCGATTGGAGGTCCTCCAATTAGAGGTCTTTTCCAATCTTAGTGATTCTATGAAAGTAGTCTCTGAGAAGCTTGGATACGGTGTCTGAAACGAGCTGAGGAAGGCACCTCATCTCTGAGCACATCCACCTTCTGTAGCATACACCCTTCCAGGCACAGAGAGGTCCTGAGTCCCTCAGTCACTGCAAAGAACAGCAGATAGATGGAGCAGACAGAGCTGGAGAGCATTCTTTTTTTTTTTTTTTTTTTTTGTGTGTGTGTGTGTGTGTGTAAAAATCGTCGAAGAATCAGGGTGCCAAAAATATTTTGATGGAAGTGACTACGTGAAATATCTTTTCATTTCGATTATTTGAAAAACAAAAACTGTTCATGGGTTTTAAAATTCATGTCCCCTCCGGGTTGCTTTGTTTTGTTTTGTTTCTTATTCCTTCTCCCTTATTCCTCAGAGGGAGCCATCCAAACCTACACGGCGTGTTATTTCTTGAGGAAATGCAATGTGATCTTTTTCCAGTTTAACCGAGGCTGAAAAATCTTCTGGTGTTTCATTTGCCTGAGAAATTTGAAAAAAAAAGCTTGGATGGAACAGAGACCTGACTGGTTCAGGGGAAACCTTGTGGGTTTTGGAGGCCCACTTGGATGGGGGTAGCTGCAGGAGCTCTTTGCTGTGCAGATTGGGGAGGAGGTGATGCCATCTTTGCCTGGGCCATACTTGGTGCCCAACACCTTCTCCAAGGGTGAGGGGCATAGGGGTGCAGAGCTGTGTCTTGGTTGCAGCGGAGACCTGCTACTGTTGAAGTATGACTCTCAGCTTTCTGGAGTTGTGGAAAACATCCAGATAATGGCCGAAACTGGGAGATTAAAGGGCTATCTTGGCTTTTGAGGACGTCTCCATGGGATGTCCCATAGGTGGCTTGTTGGAGGTGAACCACAGAGAGAGGACTGCACTGGAGAGGCATGGAGGCACACATGGGATGAGAGTGGTGGCAACTGCCTGCGTGCCTGGAAGCAGGGCAAGCAGTGGGCTGTGGGTAGAGAAGACCACCCCTGCCTGTTGCTGCCATCTCCACAAGCTTCCAGCTCTGCCGTGTAGCTCTGCCCGGATCTGCAGTAGAGCTGCTCATCCCCAGCCCTGCCATCCCTGTGCCCCACATGCTGCCTCTCCTATAAATAGCCGGATGGGAAGCGGAGCGCAGAGCTGCCGCAGATGGCCCCCAGTTCCACGCGCACTCATGTGTGAGATCCCAGAGAGGGGCTGTCAATTCCTTGCCTACAGCCACCCATGCAACCTCATTAAGAATGGTGTCGTCTTCCTTAACCCCCTTCGCCCCCTCCCTCCCCACTTCAACGTGCCTACATTCGAGCACCCTTATTAAAAGTGCACTTCTAAGCGAGGAGCGCTGACTTCCCCTTAATTGAGGCATGATAATTAGAGCATTAACACATTAGGAGGGTGAGACAGCATGTTTAGCTTTTGTGATTAATTATCTGAGGATTGTAATAAGTTGTTAAGACATTAATTACTCTGGCATGTTTATTGCTCTTTATTGCAGAGCTGACACTTGGTGGAAGAGTTGCTGGTGTGCCTGGAGGTGCAGAGTGAGGTGGGCTGGCCAAAGGAGACCTCTGCTCCCCCGTAGACACTGAGCTGCTGCTTGGGAACGGATCTTGGGGACCAGAAACAGCTCCTGAACCTCCAGCAAGTGACCTCGGGATGCAAGTGGTGTCTGAATCTCTTAGAGTCATAGGATTATGAAGGTTGGAATAAAGCACTGAGATCATCAGCCCATCCCCACCATGCCCACTAAACCATGTTCCTCAGTGCCACATTCTCCCTCATTTTGGGACCGCCTGGGAGCTGGAAGGTTTATTGTTATGGATGGTTTCAGCTGGATTTCTCTCTTCTTTCAAACAAAGTGTTTCCTCTTGAATGGTTTGAGCCTGCCCTCATTTGGATCTTTGTTTTTGCAAATCCAAGTCAGCATGGCTCATTCTGTCTGGATCTGAGGAGAATGGCTGTCTGTTAGAGACAAGGTAAAGTTCAGCATGTCGGCAGTGGTCAAGGAATGAACCAGGACCCCAGTGGCCTCGCTCGGCTCTTGATCAGATGAATTTTCTTCTGGAGAGCTGGGAGGTGGGTTAGGGAAGGCTGTTGCTGTGGCAGCAGGAGCGGATCAGCCCTCTGCAGCCTGCTCTTCACACAGCAAGCTGCTCAGCGACCTGTCAGCGCTGTGCTGATCAGATGGGGGCTGAAGGCAGAGTTCAGAGCAGGAGGATGGGTGGGTCTGTGTGCTGCCGTGACAGAGAAAAAAGGCAGCAGGAGAGTGTGATGGGCCTGTCCCACCCTTCTGTTTTTCCCATGAGTTGCATAGTGCCAGACCTTTGCTGTCCAGTTCTTTGGGTTGGGGATACATGGGAGAGACAGGGGAAATGGAGTAACGGCCCCAGCCACTGCCATGGAGAATAACATTGGGAAAATGGTGGAAGACAAGAAGGTGAGAAAGCCATGAGTTTTGTGTGTTTGCTGTTGGTTTGATATTGAATGGCCCCGTCCCTGCAGACAGCCACAGTCAGGATGGATGGGCTCTGAGCACTGATGGAGCTGTGGGTATCCCTGCTCAGTGCGGGGAGGTTGGACCAGATGGCCTTTAGGAGTTTCTTCCAGCTCAAAACAATGCTGTGGTTCCTTGGGGAGCCCTGGAGCTGACATGTCCGTTTCCAGGCTATGGCAGAGCCCTCGTGGCTTTGCAGCATGTGCTTGTGTAGTGGGGTAGTAGCCAAGGGAGTGGAAGGGGGTCTTCCCATCAGACTTTAAATGTGAAGACCCTGTCTGGTCCATCTTTCCCAAGGACAGACTGTCTCATCGTGGCTCCCACCAGCTCAGTCTTCTGTCACTGTGTCACTGTCACTGGTGGCTGGGGAGCTGCACTAGGCACTGAATGCCCTCCCCATGTGCGAGCTGGGATCCATCTTGTGTCAGCTGCCTTCAGCCCTTCCAACCTCGTGCTGTCTCGCTGTAGCCCAGCCTGAATTTGGCATTCGCTGTCAGGTGGCTGATTTCTGCCTGCAGAATATGGAAAGCGTCAGCCTGGCATTTCCCGCTTGCCTCCCAGGGACAAAGCAGGTCATGACTTACGTGTATTATCATTAAAAAGATAATTTCCTCTAGATGTGTGCAATAAGACAATGGTGCTGACCTGTGATCCTGGCATTGCACAGCATTAATGATTTCCCTTTGCAGGTAATAAGCAGCAAATGTACACATTTTGGGGAGATCTGATTTTTTTTTTTTTTCCTTTTAACACTGCTGTCTTCCTAGGCCAGACTTAATTAGCAGACCTCATTATTTCCTGAAATGTAACTTGACTTCCATTGAATGAGAATTGTTCAGTGGATGGGGAGCAGCAGAGCGGTGCTGCAATATTCATATTGTTTAAATTGCAACATTAACATTTCATGCCGCTCTTGGCATATTTTCAGGTGCAGCCCTTTAGCTCAATGCAGTGCTGTGAAAGGTTGGATCAGAACAATTAGGATACAGTGACTGGATTTCTGGATTTTTTTATTTTTTTTTTAAAGAACTCAAGCTTAGATTCAATCCCCATCACTCTTTTTGTTTGGCAGAGCAGGGATTCCAGTGTCCCTGAAGTAAATACTTTTCTGGAATAAAGGATGTGCTGTAGCACAAACTCACCTCCTGTCTTAGTAGAGATGAAGCCCTGCAGGTACAGGCAGTACGTGATTTACGGGACAGGAAACACCTCCTGGGACTTGACCTTTACCAGGTAAATAAGAGAATTCCCCAAAAATGCTTCTGGCCACCTAGGCCAAAGACACACACAAAAAGGCTGTTTCCCACTTTGCCATTGTTCTTGGATGCCTCAGGCCAAAGGTGGCACTGTAGTAATGCCCAGGTCCGAGCAGTCCCTCCATGAGCACTTGGATTGCACTCCCTGTCTCTAAACAGCACTGGGCTTTGGTCCTGCACGGGGGCTCCAGTGACCTTTGCTGCCTTGCTCCGTAGTGTGCTTTCCAATAGTTTTTCCTGTACTGAAGATCAGTGCCAATGATGCGAGTTAATATTGAGGAATCACGGAATACCTGGGTTAGAAGGAACCTTAAAGCCCACCCAGCCCCAACCCTATTGTGGGCTGGCTGCCCCTCACCACTAGCTTAGGCTGCTCAGGGCCCCATCCAGCTTCTCTTTAGCACCTCCAGCGTTGAGACACTCATCTGGGATTGCTGCGAGCCAAGTGCAACACCTTGCATTTGGTCTTATCGGTGTCAGGAACAACTCCAGCTTCCACCCTGGAATGACTTAATTAGGGTCTCTGACTTCAGCCAGCCATGCATCCCATTTGTAACGTGTGCAGTGGGATCCATGACATCTTATCTTCTATGGATACGTGGCTTGGATCAGGGTTCTCTAATGTCTGGTAAGCTGCTCGTGCTGAATGGAACACCTCCTCTCGTGGGATATTTATAGCATCCTGCTCTCCCACGCAGATTGTCTGGTGTCTAATAGTGGATTATGCACTACGGTTTGCAAGGTGCTAATAATCTCTCTCCTCTGTTTGACAGTCTGTTCCCATGAGATTTATAGACTCTGACTGTCCCTGAGACCTCTGCCTCTCTGTCAGATCAGGCTGAAATCTGTTCTCAGTGTCAGAAGCTGCTGCCAAGCGGGCAGGGGATGGACTGATGCATGTGTTTCAGAACTCAGGCACAGAGCTGGGGGCAATAGGAGCTCTGATTTCCAACTTGTGGGTTCACGAAGGTGAGCATCCAGGAGAAGCACCGTGCCTGCAGCCATCCTGCACAAGATGCCATGCTGAGGGACACTCATGGGCTGCACTTCGTGTTCCCATCTCCTGCGGTGACCATCACAAGCGGCACAGCCCCTGTGGGAACGGCCCCTGAGGACAATAAACGAGCCAGCCCCGAGCTCCCGGCTGCTGTGAAGAATTGCCTGGCTAAAGGATAATGAATACCGCAGCAGGAGACGGAGCGTTGCTCCGAGGCCATCCATCCCCTTTATCACCCCACTAACAAGCCCCTGAGCGACTTCAGAGAGGCTTCTGCAGAGCAGCTCAATCCCTCACCATGCTGGCGGCTGGGTGCTGGGGGCTCTGCAGGAAACCACAGTGCTATCCCACAGAGCAACTGCCAGTGCCGCCTAGGGGTCCATGTAGTGCCAAGGAGGGGCAGAAAAGCCAGGCATTCTTTTTTTTTTTTCCAAAGTACTTTTGGGCCCTGCAGCACACTTTGGAGCACTGCTCTACCCAGCTCCCAGCCTGGCTAAGGTTTCTAAGGTCTGTACAAGGCCTAGGAGCAGTTTAGTGCTGCTGGCCAGGAGGTGAGTTGGTTCTGCTTCACTTGCAGCACAGCTGAGTCTGTGCATGAGCCCAATGCAGGGCAGAGAGGGCAGGAGTGATGTGCTCTTCCTAAGAGCTAATAAAAGCTGATTTCTCCCATAGCTCCGAGCCAGTGGGAAGCATTAGTGGCTGGCTGAGTGCCTCCCACACTGTGCAGCGTGCTGGGTGCTTGTCCTCCTGCGGAGGGAAAGGCATCTCAGCAAGAGCTCAGGCGTCCCTCCTGGGAGAGCAAACCAGGCACATAGCTGTGCAGCTGGACATGGGAGGCAAGTGGGAGCACGTGGCACAAAATTCCATTTCTGAGCAACTTCTTCTGCCTATGCTCAGGACTTAGGGTGGGAGAAGCACACTCATTGCCTGACTGGTCTCCAAAAAGCCCCAGTGCTGAATGCCTCCATTGAGATGCTTATGTGCAGCAACCCAAGCGTGCTGGTACTCAATGTGCCCACCTGCCTGAGTGTGTCTGGGACACAGCATGCAGTGTGTAGGCACTCAGCAGAGCTAATTGCCAGTAATTGGAAGGCTTTTTTTGTCTCATCTTTCCAGCATTATTTTGTCTTCTCCTCTAGGTTTATCTGTAGGAAGATGCATTTAGCATGGTTCCTGCAAGAACTTCACATCCAGTGCTGGAGGAGAAGGGAAAGCAAACAGAGTTGGGTGTCTTCAGCAATGTAGGTGGTGGGGGAGGGGCAAAAGGCTTGAAAAAAGCTGCAAAGCCATTCAGGAAGGTGCAGAGAGCACAGTGATGGGCAATTAGGTTGTTCCAGGAAGGACAGAAACAGCAGAGAGCAGCCAGCTGAGGCTCAGGAGCTCTCAGATACTCAGTAGCAGTTTTGACTGAGGTCGCTGGGTAGGGCTGGTTGTGTTTCATGCCTCAGTTTCCCCACGGGAGGGTTCATTTACAGCCTGAAAACATCTGGCACTTTTCCTCCTTTGGCCAGCACCGTTGAGTGTTGAATTGAAAGGAAATACAATGCATCACCCTCCTTGTGGGCTGCCACACTGCCAAGAGTAGTGGAGATTGGCCTTCCATCACGGGGGGCTGGGGTGGAAAGAGACCTCCTGGAGCACACAGTGGAGAAATACTGTCATTATCTGAGGAAGAGCTGACAGAGATGGAGCGCTCCTTCACCTCAGCCGCCAGACCTCTGCCCTGCTTGTTGCTAACAGGATGGGGAAGTGCTAACTGAGGAGCTATGTCAGCTGCAGTGCTCAAAGCACTGTCTGCATCCAGATGTGAGAAACAGCTGGGACGGCAAGGCTTTTACAGACTGGTGGGGGTGGCTTTGGTCTTTTTGCTGCCTATCAAAAGCACTTGCCATTGGGATCAAAGAACCTTTCTCTATACTTCTGATGGGTGCTGGGTTGGGAGACACATGCCTGGATGTGCATCCTGGGGTGGGTCAGGACCTACTGTAGGGAACATGCTTAGCATGGGGTTGGACTGGATGATCCCCAGAGGTCCTTTCCAACCCCTACAATTCTGTGGATCTGTGATGTCCCTGGCCATGAAGGTCCCAGGATGCAGGAGGCACTGTCACTCTGCCCCCTGCGTT